TGCAGTCCTTGACCCTCTGCAGCAGGTGCTTCAGGTCCTCTTCAGTTTCAGCAAGCAGGGTTGTGTCATCTGCATAACACAGATTGTTGATGCTTCATCATTCTTGCTGTAAGGTATACCCTGTTTGCACTTCCTCTGTGACAGATTTGTCAGTGCTTTTGGCAGTCCCTGGGATATTGAAAACTTCCCCAACACCACAATTCAAAGGCATTGGTTCTTTTTCCTTATTCATTGAAACTTTTAAATGCATAGGAAACACTTGAAAAATACTGTGACTCTGTGACTTGAATAGGCACATGGCAGTTAACAACAGCAGCAACAACAACAACAAAAACAATTTTTAAACTTAAATCCTAGACCTTTAACACTTTGGTGAAGTTTTGTTTTTGTTTTTGTTTTTAACTTTTCTACTAGTTTATTTACAGAATTGGAATACATTTTTTTTCAAGAACAAATTCTTTCAATTTCCCTCATCCTCTCGAGGGGTTCTTGATAATAGATTTTTCCAGTGCAACACATCTTTTCATTTCTTGAGTATTCCTGTCATGTGTATTGATTGTGACTCCAAATAAAATGAAGCTGTTGACAATTTCAGTCTTTCATGATGTTGTCTGTTGGTACAATGGTGAAGAGTTTTTTAAGTTAATATCTAATCCATATTGCAGACTGTAGTCTTTGCTCTTCTGTATGTGCTTCAGTTATTTCATAACTTTTTATAAGCAACATTATGTCATCTTTATAACATAGGTTTTGCTAAGCCTTCTCCAATCTTTATGTCACCTTTTTTATATAGTCTAGCTTTTCATATTATCATTATTACATATAAAACCAACAACTAATTGGCAAGACTCTCTACATGTTGTTGTTGTTGTTATATGCCATCGTGTTGCCTGTGATGCATAGTGACCCTCTGCATAATAGCCCGAGCCAATCTCACTGTCTCCCACACACCTACCCACATTACCCAGACACTGTGTCAATCCTTCTCATCTAGGATCTTCCTCCCCTGAACTGACCCCTCACCCTTCCAAGGGTGATGTCTTTCTCCAAGGACTTGTCTCTCTAGCAACATGCCACTGGAACTTTGATAGCCTTGGCTTCTTGAAGCATTTAATAGCTATTTGTTAGAGTTTCAAGACTTAGCGATTGTTTTTTTTCTCACCTTTTTGACAATTGTTCTACTTATGAGAATGTTAGGCATATCAATACAGACTTTTGAGTATTTTTTGCATTTCTCTATATTGAATATCCTCAGTCATAATGATGTAGCATGAGTTATATTTCCATTAATGGTGCTTTTGATTTTGATTTCCTCTACTTTGAAGATTTTAATAATTGTGTTGATGGTCGTATTAATTAATGCTAGGCAAGAGTCCAATTGAGCTAACTTAACATTTAAAATGCTCTTAAGACATTTGCTCTTTCATTTCCAGTTCCTCTAGGTACGTTTGCTTATCTGCTTTTAAAGTACACCGGTCCAAGCTAATGAGTCAAACACTGTGGATTTTGATCTTAATTGTAACTAGAATTTTAAGAAGTCAGACCTTCCAAACTTCTGTTGGAATCACAGTATTAGAATATTTAAAAATCAGTTCCATTTGTTGCATTAGAACTTAGTTTACCACTTTTATAAAATCCTCAAATACTGCTTTGTGTTCTTTTCTTGTGTGGAAATTAAAGAGTACTGAGCTTTGGTGGCATTATTGGTTAAATAGTGGTTCAGCTCTCAGCTGAAAGGTTGGGCGTTCAAAGCCACAAACCACTTTTTGGGAAAAAGTGTGACAGCCTGCCTCTAAAGATTGTAGTTTTGGAGACTGTGTAGTAGTTCTGCATAGTATAATGTTGACGAACCAAAATTGCAGAACTGACTCAGTGGCAGCTGTTTAAGAAGCTCTGGTAGCACAGTGGAGAGGCCGTTGGCTGTTAACCAAAAAGATGTAACTATGAACTCCTCAAGAGAAAGATGTAGCCATCTGTTCCTATAAGGTTTATGGCCTTGAACACCCTGCGTGGAGATTTCTGCTCTTTCCCATTGGGTGACTGAGTCAGAATTGACCCAATTGCTATCGATTTCATTTTGTTTTTTGTTTGGAAGCTTGTTTCCAGAGGTGACCAAAACAGGGAGAGGGCGTGTGAAGAGGAAATGATAAGGTAAATCAACATCATAAAGATGAGAAGGTCATTATTTTAGCCCTGCCTTGATATTTCTATTAGAGATGACAAGGATGTATGTCATGGCTTGTAACTGCGTTTCGAATTTTTGTGTCTGCTCACCTGAAGTGTTTCTCTTTGCAAATGGTGTTCCCTTGTCTCCAGGTCTCATACTTAATTACTCTTAAGCATGTCTTAAATAACAGGTTGCAACACTTGTGCTTATCTCTCTTTTTTTCTTTTTTTCCCAGTTGAGAAACCAAGGCATTACCACGAGCAGGAAGAAACACCTGAGATGATGGCTGCCCGGATTGACAGAGATGTGGTGAGTACAACAGCCATACCTAGTTGGGCTTTTTTGTTTTGTTTTTTTCTTAAGAAGGAAAATGAACTCCACAAAGAAAAACACAATGGATTTAAAAAAAAAAAAAGATGTTTCTGGAAACTATCTTCTACTCCAGTAACTGAATATTTTTTCTTTACTCTCTTTTTGCCTTTATGTCACTAGTTAATCAGTTTACATGAGTTTTTACAAAATAATCAGATTTACAATAATATAACAGATTTGAGGTGTGATTGAGTAATTTTCTCATAGTTCGTAATGTGTAATTGAAACATCAATATGATAGTGGTTCTGGAGATTTATTAAAATAGATTTTACCATATGAGAAAGACAGAGGCTCAGTGATATTTTTAACAATAAATGATACTTTTAAACAATATATGTATGCATTCTAGTGCTTTATACAGAGTATTTATTTGGATTTCTCCATAACATAACAGTTTATTTGCAGAATAACAGTGATTTGTGGTAAGATCATACAATGCCATATTAAAAATTATAGTAATATTTCAAATAATATGCTTATGTTACCATTTGAACTATGCTAATAGAAACAAATGTTTAATATGATTTATAATTTTATTTTTATTTCACCTGTTAATGCTTATCTTACGAGGTCACTAAGAATTAGAATCTTTTCAGTAGCAGTGGAATTACTGCTATAAACTTAAAAGCTTATTTATTTAAAATTTGTTTAGTTATTATTTAAATATATAATTAGAAAAATGCTGTCTCCTATATACTGTAGAAAATCAACTTAGATAGTTATCACCAGAAGTCTAGAGTATCACTAATTCTGTTTTAACATATAGAGATTGACATGAATGCCTATTATTGCTAACAGACTAGTCATTTCTTTGCTTACAAAAATAATCTACATGTCTTCTGTTCTAAGTAATATTATCAGTGCTTTAATGGAATATTTATTAGAAAAACTAAAACCTCAACACTCTTCCAACAAAGTACTTCTTACAGTGTTGTTTCTATGACACTACTGGCAAACACTATGAAAAAATCAGGGACAATTAAAAAGAATCATCTTAGTAAATATAATAATTATAATTGTTTTCTAAATGAGACTTAAAAAAGAGTAAAATTAACCTTAAAAATTTTGTAAATGTCACACTTTAGCCACAGATATATTTATTTAAGTTCTTTTTCTAGAACTCTTTTTTCTTTTCTGAAATTTGCCTGTGGAGATTTTGGGTTGTTTTATTTTTTTACTTTATTATTTGATTTTTTAAAAAATTAATATTGCACAGCCAAGGCAGATGTAGTTTTATTTCCTTTTTATGTTTTGTTCTATAATTTCTCATTCTAGCAAATCTTAAACCACATTTTGGATGACATTGAGTTTTTTATTACAAAACTCCAAAAAGCAGCTGAAGCATTTGCTGAGCTTTCTAAAAGGAAAAAGACTAAGAAAAATAAAAAGAAAGGGCCAGGAGGTAAGTTGGACTTTCCACCCCCCCCTTTCACTTTTCTAAATTATTAAGAATTCCATCCAGTACGAGGCAGAACCTGCCCTTGCAAACTGCTCAAGGAAACTTCTCTTTGGAGGAGCCACAGAGCTTTAGTCAGAGAGCAAAATGTCTCCATAATGTGGTGGCTTCAGTGAAGAAAGCATGAGAATCTTTCACCAGAATCAGACATTCAGAGGATCAGGTAGTGGCCACTGTTTTCATTGTTGTTGTTGTTGTTAAATGCTGTCGAGTCACAGGCAACTCATAGAGACCCTATGAAGGAGAGTCCTCAATGCTTGGGTGTCTTTCATCCTCTCTCCAGGTTCATAGGGTTTCCGGAGGCAAGCTATTATGGAAGTGGATGCCACTCCTCCTTCCAAGCTTGTTTTAATTGGGGAGCACCACCCCACTCTCTGTCCACATTGGGTAACCAGCCATTAACACATTTGACACATCAGTGTCACAGTGTTCAGCCTCACAGCAACCACGTGACCATTGTACCACAACTTGTACAGCCCGGCATGCCCAAATGCTGGGAAACTCCCTGCCCCAGACCCCCATTCATCTGGCAGGTCTGCTCTGCCAACCCCCTCGTGGGCCCTAAGACACCACCACACGTGCTTGGAGTCCTCAAACCTAGCTCGCCTCCCCTGTTTTCATTAGTGATTATAAAATCTGTTAAAATAATAGATTTACCTCTCTTGTTTAGACTTAGGTCATTGTAAATGTATAGCCTCATTATTTTTTAAAGGAGTTAATATTCTTTCTAAAATAATTGGGAAAGTGAAGGAATTTGAATTTGGTTTTTATTTTTATTATTTTTTTTTGGTCACATATCCTAAAAATCACATTCAAGTAACAAAGTCGTGGGTAACTTTTGAATATGTTGCATTCAGCTGTTTTGAATGCCCTCAAAATGTAGAAAACTATAATTTTGCAATTTATTTTTGTTCTGCTATGTCCAAATAAGAAAGATTGAAATATATAAAGCATCAAGCTAAAAACTCAGTTGTCATCAAATCAGAACCAACTCAACCCTCTGTTGGGTTTCTGAGCCTATAAATTGCAGGAAAGGAGCCTGCCTGTCTTTCTCCCAAGGAGCTTCTAGTGCATTCACACTGCCAGAGGGGCATGATCTTTGGGTTAGCAGGGCAACTTCCTGTGGAGTAAGTCATTAGAGCTCCCTATGCAATGCATAGTAAAGAAATATCTTTTCCATTACAGCTTCCAAATTTTTTCCTAGATCATAACTCCCTCATAAACTTGGCCTGCAACTTTGTCTTCTAAATGTCTAAGTCTGGAACTACCTGCAATTGAGTTGGTACTGACAGTTGACCTTCCAGTGGGTTTTCAGAGGCTCTACACCACACGAGGGGAAAATGCCCATCTTTCTCCACAGAGCAGCTGGTAGAGTCAAACCCCCTGCCTCTGGGTTGGTAGTACAACTCCTTACCGTCAAATCTCCCTATCTTCCATCTACACATTCAAAATTCAGCATAGATACTTACTGGTGTCTCAATCTGCTTATTATTCCTGTATTCTCTTTGAAGGTTACATTCTTCTCCTAGTCACCTAGATTCAAACCATAAATTCTACTATGACTTTATTCTGTAGTACTGCCAACATTAATTCTGTTTTCTCATTGTCCCCTGCATCTATATGTTCTTCCCCCCGTCTTTCTATTTATATAACTAGCATGGAAGCTCAAAATGTCCTAATTTTGCACTCAGTTTCCTAATAGTCTTTAAGTCTATACTCTTTCTCCAAAACCAGTAGATGTGCCATAAGGACAAGGCCTCTTGCTGGTCTAAGCCGGTCACTCCCTTCTTCTCCTGTATACTGCTAATTTTATGTTCTACTGATTTAAATGCCACTTCTCACACTGGAAGTCCAAGTCAACCAGTCTAACTCTGATCTACTTTTCCATTTTCACGTTTCTCTGCTTTCGTGTCTTGTTATATCATGTGTGTGTAGTTTTCTTTTTCTGTGTTTGTGCTCATGCTGTTTTAATTCTCCCATGATGCTTTTCTACTAGTTGACCCTGAGCCACGTTTTTCAGAATCCATTTTAAGAGCTGTTTTGACCATGAAATATCTTTTAGGTATGAATTTCCCCATATTCCAATGAGTGAGTTACATACTATTTCCTTAGCACTTATTTGGTATTATCTCTGTTATTTATTTACTAATTTGGCTCTTCTATTAGATTTTATGGCCCTTAAGGGCAGAGTCTACAATGTAATTATTTTATAGTCTTCACTGTAGTAAACACAATTCCTGGAACGTAGAAAAGATAGTGTATATTTATGAAGTTGATTTGAATAATTCATCATGCCAAAGGGTTAAATAAATAGTTGGCTGTTGAGTCAGTTGTGACCCTTGGTGTCTACATGTGAGTCAGAGTACAGCAGTTTTAGTGGCTGATATTTGAAAGTGGATAGCTAGATTTTCTTTCCAGATTCTTCTGTTTGAACTTGAACCTCCAACCATTCTGTTAGCTGTTGTGCATGCTATCTGTTGGCACCTTCTACGGACTCCTCTGCCAAAGATAGAAGAACTCTCACACACTGGATCTTAATTTTTTACAGTCAGACTGGGAAATTTGGCAGAGTAACTGAGAAGTGGACTATCTATTGTACATATCAAACTTTAAGGCATGACTATGTTTTTGTTGTTTTTCCATGGATTTTCTTGGAATTTTTCTCTCATCTACCCCATACCTCCATTTTATTTCATTCACTAGAGGGTGTTTTAACACTGCGGGCAAAACCCCCACCTCCTGATGAATTTATTGACTGTTTCCAAAAGTTTAAACATGGATTTAATCTTCTGGTAAGTGAAAGTTCATTATATATAATTCAAAGATTCTTGTTGTTTTCATTGTTATGTGCCATCGAATTGCCTGAGACTTATGGCAACCCTATGTACAACAGCCCTAAACCCTGCCCTATCCTGTGCCAATCTCACTGTCTCTGACACACCTACCCTCATTACCCCAGTCACTGAATTAATCCATCTTGTTGAGGGTCTTCCTCTCCTGCACTGTCCCTCCACACTCCCAAGCATGACGTCCCTCCAAGGACTGGTCCCTCCTAGCACCATGTCCAAAGTGTGTCAGACAAAGCTTCAGAATCCTTGCCTCCAAGGAGCAGCCTGGTTTAAACCTCTCCGGGATGAATCTGTTCTCTTAGCAGTTCATGGTATATTCAGTAGTCTAATATCACAGCCCAAAGATGTCAATTCTCCTTCTATCATCCTTAGTTATCATAAAAGAAAAATTAATTCCTAGTCTAACTAGGATATTCCTGGTGAAATTAAGAGGAAAAATGTTTTTGTATAGTTTTATATATATTTGTCTTTTTAATGACAGACCCACTA